TCAAGGGGGCGGGATGAGGCTGGTAGGTAGGAGATGGGGGTGCGGCTTGAGGTGAGAGGAAGGACAGGTTAGGGAGGCGGGGACGAGCTGGGCTGGTTTTGGGATGCGGTAAGGGGAGGGGAGATTTTGAAGCTTGTGAAGTCCATATTGATACCATTGGGCTGCAGGGTTCCCCAGCAAAATATGAGTTGCTGTTCCTGCAACCTTCGGGTGGCATCGTAGTGGCACTGCAGGAGGCCCAGGATGGGCATGTCGTCTGAAGAGTGGGAGGGGGAGTTGAAATGGTTCGCGACTGGGAGGTGCAGTTGTTTGTTGCGAACCAAGCGTAGGTGTTCCACAAAACGGTCCCCAAGCCTTTGCTTGGTTTCCCCGATGTAGAGAAGGGCACATCGGGAACAGCGGATTACATCTACCACAAGTGCAGGTGAACATCTGTTTGATGTGGAAGGTTTTCTTGGGGCCTGGGATGGGGGTGAGGGGGGAGGTGTAGGGGCAGGTGTAGCACTTCCTGCGGTTGCAGGGGAAAGTGCCAGGGGTTGTGGGGCTGGTGGGGAGTGTGGAGTGGACGAGGGAGTCATGGAGAGAGTGGTCCCTCTGGAAAGCAGATAAGGGTGGGGAGGGAAAATGTCTTTGGTAGTGGGTCACATTGCAGATGGCGGAAGTGCCGGAGGATGATGCATTGGATTCGGAGTTTGGTGGGGTGGTACGTGAGGACGAGGGGGATCCCGTTTTGGTTGTTATTGAGGGGAGGGGGGTGTGAGGGATGAGTTGCGGGAAATGCGGAAGACACGGTCGAGGGCGTTTTCGACCACTGGGGGGGATGCTGCGGTCCTTGAAAAACGAGGACATCTGGCATGTCCGGGAGTGGAATACCTCATCCCGGGAGCAGATGCGGCAGAGGCGAAGGAATTGGGAATAGGGGATGGCATTTTTGCAGGAAGGTGGGTGGGAGGACGTGTATTCTAGGTAGCTGTGGGAGTCGGTAGGCTTGAAATGGATATCGGTTTCCAGGTGGTTGCCAGAGATGGAAACAGAGAGGTCCAGGAAGGAGAGAGAGGTATCAGACATGGTCCAGGTGAACTTAAGGTTGGGGTGGAAGGTGTTGGTGAAGTGGATGAACTATTCGAGCTCCTCGTGGGAGCAGGAGGCGGCGCCGATACAGTCATCAATGTAATGGAGGAAGAGGTGGGGGATAGGGCCAGTGTAGCTTCGGAAGAGGGATTGTTCCACGTATCCTACAAAGAGGCAGGCATAGCTTGGGCCCATGCGGGTACCCATGGCCACCCCCTTTGTCTGTCGGAAGTGGGAGGAATTGAAGGAGAAGTTGTTAAGGGTGAGAACGTGTTCAGCTAAGCGGTTGAGGGTGTCAGTGGAGGGAGACTGGTCGGGCCTGCGGGACAGGAAGAAGTGGAGGGCCTTTAGGCCATCTGCATGGGGAATGCAAGTGTATAGGGACTGGACGTTCATGGTAAAGATGAGGTGTTGGGGACCAAGGAATCGGAAGTTTTGGAGGAGGTGGAGGGCGTAGGTGGTGTCACGGACATAGCTGGGGAGTTCCTGGACCAAGGGGGAGAAAATGGAGTTGAGATAGGTAGAAATAAGTTTGGTGAGGCAGGAGCAGGCGGAGACAATGGGTCGACCAGGGCAGTCAGGTTTGTGGATTTTGGGAAGAAGATAGAAACTGGCGGTGCAGGGTTGGGGAACGATGAGGTTGGAGGCTGTGGGTGGGAGGTCACCTGAAGTGATGAGGTTGTGGATGGTTTGCGACATGATGTTTTGATGGTCGGGGGTGGGGTCATGATCAAGGGGGCGGTAGAAGGAGGTGTCAGAGAGCTGGCTTCTGGCCTCGGCAATGTAGAGGTCAGTACGCCATACTACAATGCCGAGCATTGGTATTATGGTCACATTATCGCCCACGGTGCCATCTGACTCTACACCCTTAGAAGCGGAGAAAGATGGTATTTCAGAATTCAAGACCAGTGCCATTAGTGCACAAACTTCATGAAAAGGTGCAATTTAGTACTTTGTCAGAAAACAAAACAAATCACAATCTACTTCCTGAAATCAATGATAAAATTATCCATTCATTCTCACTCTTGTCACATGTTGTGGAGAGAAGAATGCATATTGATTGGCTTGGATTGGAAATTTGGATAAGACATCAATGAGCATTGACATTACAACAAACAAGATTATTACCAAGATTAGTGAAAGTGTCTTCCTTGCAACATCAACAGCCAAAAAAGGATACAGCTCACTGTTGTTCTACCTTGTATGCTGGATAGACCAAAATTAAAGCTGGTGGTGATATTTGAGGCAAAGTTCTCCCTAAAGGGAAATTTCAGAAAGATGTTTCTCTGTGACCACAAGAAAAGCAGGATGGGCGAAAACATTTGCCATAAAGAAATCAAGTGCTGGATTTGAGACCAAGAGAACCAGGCAAAGAAGAAAGCTTGGTCATCTGGAACGTACACAATTCCCAGTTGTCCGCAATAAAGTTAGTGATGAGCGATCAACTAAATCCTTCTTGGCAGATTTTACCAGCTACCTGTTGTTCAGCCCTTGGATATATGTATAAATAAACCACTTGAGAAACGTATCTGAAAATGTGAAACAATTAGATGCTGCAACGTGATAAATCATTGACTAAAGATAGAAATATGCGAGCAATCTCACTAATAATATTGTGTCAATAGATCAATGATGCATGAAATGATCTTAATTTCAAGGTTATCAATAGAATAATTTAACTACTTGGAACATTTGATGCATTCGGCAATAGCAAAGAAAATTACTTGTGGAATGATGTTGCCAAATTTTTTATACTACTGTTGGTAATTCGAGTAGTGATCAAAATAATGTTGAAGGATTTATGTGAATTGTAATATTCAATTTTATTACCGTATGTATTGTATTGTGTTGGATGAAAATGTGTGTAGTTTGTAATGTTATAAAATAAGTGTAGGAGAATTAATGTGAATTCTATATTTTTACTTTATTCCATTTTGACAGTCTTCTTGGGCTCAAGTCAAGCATTTAAGGGGGTAGCTGGATAAACATGCAAGGGAGATAGGAGATAGGTATGTTAATGAGATTAGATGAAGAAGGTTTGAAAGCCTCATGTAACATAAATATCAAATCTGACTGGCCCATTTTTGTAATGTAAGTACTGTATAATGTAACACTTTTATATATAATGGATTAAATGGAGATGTATAAAATATGACAGGAAATAAATAGGCTAAATGGAAACTGATTATCATTCTTTCAGCCATTGTAATCAGATTTAATTTAATTTAAATTAATTTGGAAAAAGAACCAAAGGGCTGCAAGAAAACTGACTTGATTTTTCTCTGAAAGAAATGGTGCAGACTGAATTGACTACGTGGCTTCATTCCATGCCGCACTATACTTTTGTTTACTATAACTTCCAACAATGAAATATTTTATACTATTCCCTTTGAATTGAGATATCATTATAGTAAATTGTATATTACATTTAACAAGTATGTTTTAACCAGCACGATCGAGATCTACATCAGCTCTGTATAGAGCACATGTAGAGTTGTAGAGCTTACTGAACAGTTATTAAACAATCTTATATAGAACCATTGATCTGCTTGTCTACAAGTGTTAGAGAATCCAATGACTGAATGACTGAAAATATTAATTTTATTTTGTATGCTGTGCCATTGTTGAACTGTACATAAATATAAATTTAACAAAGAAGCTCATGGTGAATAATTGCATTGTAAGCTTGTTTCTGGCAATTTCTAAGGTTGTACTTCAGCTGATATTTAATCTATTTCTAATTTTTGTAAACAATTTTTTATTTAAATTTACACCTTTTGTCTCCTACAAATGCCTTTGCCTTTCCTGATCAAAGTCTAGGAGAGTAAGTTCCAGTTCTAATGAACATTTGCATGCCGGTTATGTTATCTGTTTCCTTTTGTTTATGTGGCAAACCTAGTCTATGTTGTTCCCCAGTCTCAATTCATGGCATTAAATTTGCTGGCGGTTCTTACTCAAACATCAATGAAATCACTGTTAAATTGAATGGCAATAAGATTTCTGAGTATGACCATGAGAGAAAAAAGATAGTCATTAAAAGTTCTATTATTAAAAAAAATTGCTCTGGTGATATTTGGAAACAAAGTCATTAATGTGACCTCTATAAAAGCTTAATCTGAGCTTGGATAACTAAAGTTTTAAGTTAGGCAAATGGAAGTTAGACAATAAGATCAGAATCTTGACTTCAATTCAGACTCCTGAGATAACCACACACAGGCCAATATCCTGTCACCCAGTCGGCCTTTATTACACGTGCAACCTGACCAGCTAGCTCAGAGGTAGTCTCTAGAGTGAGGAGACTCTCTGAATCTCCTGTTTATATTTGTCTTCCAAGACACTCTAATTGGCCCAGGTTAATAGCCCCAATCAGGAATCACATACTCAACAAGATCCATCTAGCCTTTGTTCCAGTCACTACAACTCCACAGTATAAATTTCATCCAAATTTACGAGTCCTATGTGACAGATTCTACAACACTAGAGTATTCTTAGAATAGATTGAACAATTGCAAATAGCAAACCAGACTTGAGTAGACCTGAGCCAATGTTATAACAGATCTAAGTTCATCCATCATTCCTCACTGTGTCTGATTTGTACACTGGACTTGAGCAATTTTCTTTCCTGCTATTGGTTGACCCTCATTGGTGTAGGTATTTTTTTTCCAGGGTGTTAAATGCTGTTTGTTCATTATAGTCATCCTATAACCATTGAATGACTTTGAATAATGGCATATTAATTAAAAGCATTGAAATAGTTACAAGTACTTTCTTGGAGAATGACCATGAAACTTGCCTTTTTTTGCTGCACCTTGCATCTTACCATACTCCTGAAATTAATATTCTATTTTGTTTGAATTCGTTTTGCTCTCTGTGTTTGCTTTTCCAATGCTTGTGGTGTTCATTGTGAAAACCCTATTGATTTCTCTTAGGATTCTCAAAGTAGACAATCGGGATACAGTATGCACCAGCTTCAAGGCAATAAGGAATATGGCAGTGAGAAGAAGGGATATCTCATGAAAAAAAGTGATGGGTATGTATTTTTCTGTATTTAATAAAGTAATAATGAGACTTGCTTCAAAACGAAGTTACAATTATTCACATTAAACTACTGAAAACCTGTACAAATCTATCTAATTCAGTTTAAGTTTCCAGCGTTTAAGATTAAATTCAACTACAAGTAATGCAAGCAAAAATAGTTTGGAAATTATTTGACAAGGTTTTGGAATACTTCTTATGTTTTGTTAGAAACTGAAGTGAGAAATTTCAGTTTACCCAAAGGTATGAGCCAGTAAGTTTTTAAAATTTGTTTCTTAATGTAGTTTTGTAAACAAAATGGCTTTAAAATCCAATCAGCTGTGCCAAAGAATGGGTTTAAACTTCTAATTTCTCCCACATGGCGCACAAGAGAGCAGAAGACAGGAAGAAATGCTTAGAAATCAGATGATGAGTTATTGTGAACATTGCCACCTCTTAAGGTCAGTCTCTGAAATAACTGCACAGAGGCCAGTATCCTGTCACCCAAGGGCACGGTGGCTTGGTGGTTAGTACTGCTGCCTCGCAATGCCAGGGACCCGGGTTCAATTCCAGCCTCAGGTGACTGTCTGCGTGATGTTTGCACATTCACACCCTGTCTGCGTGGGTTTCCTCTGGGTGTTCCGGTTTCCACTCATGGCCCAAACCTGTGCAGGTTAGGTGGATTGGCCAAGGGAAATGCAGGGTTACAGGAATAGGGTAGGGGGTAGAGTCTGGGTGGGATGGTGTGGATTTGTGTGGCTGAATAGCCTGTTTCTACATCGGAGGGATTCTGTGACTTAGAGTCACCCTACATTTAGCTTGGAGTCAGTCCCTTAAGTGAAGAGATTCTGAATCTCCTGTTTATATTTGTCAACCAGGGCTCCCATTTGGCTCAAGTTATCAACCCCAACCAAGGCTCTCATAGCTGATAAGATCCATCCGGTTCAAATTATTATATCCTTCCCCCCCAAGTCCTGTGATGTTTTGACCCAAGATCTGGTTCCTCTTACTCAGACTCTGACACGGGCAGTGTGTCCCAGACCTTAGCCTGTCTCTTGCGCCTAGCACATCTCCGGAGAGTTTCCACCCCTTCTTCCGGCAGTAACAGTATCGAGGCTGCATCCATCTTGGACTCTGTGGTTTTTGTGAGAGAGGGGGAGAAAACTCTATTTCTAACAGGCCTTCTGGCTGTTCTGAGGGGCCAGGTATGTTTTGCTGCTGCCCTGTTTGTGAGATAGCAGCTTTCAGGTGATCCACATGTTTGTTCAGGACCGCCTCACCTACCATCACGGAATCTGACCTCTCATTGACCTCGCCACATACCCCCACAGGGCCATTTCCGTGTTTCCGGCACCAGACTTCATTCCTCGAAGTAAACTGTCTCTCTCGCTTAGAGGAAGCATGTGGCCAGCATTGATGTTCCTGCTACTGTTTCAACACCCACCGCAGGTCTGGGAATATCAAGTTTAACCTGGTGCGGAGTCTTCTCTCCATTAGCAACTCTGCTGCAGCTATCCATGTAGTTGCATGAGGGATGGTTCTATAATCAAGCTGGAACTGGGACAGTTCGGTCTTGAGTGACGCTGTAGGCTGTTTCTTTAAGCCTGCCTTTTGGGCCACTGTTTCTACCAGACCACCAGATATTGGATGGTATGGAGCTCTCCGAACATGCCGAAAGCCATTTGACTTTAGGAAATATTCAAATTCCCTGCTGGTGAATGACGTCCTATTGTCCGTGACCCTGGAGTCTGTGTATCGCAAACAATCTCGCAGCTTTTCAGTCATCAACCCTGAGTCTGCCAAATGAACTCTATGCATATACAGCCACTTTGAATCAGCATCCACAATGACCATGAACATGGAGCTCATGAAAGGGCTGGCATAGTTGACGTGAAACCACGTCCAGGTTTTACCTGGCCATTCCTGCAAATATGGGGATGACAGCGGCAGCAATTTTTATCCTTATTGGCACTCTGGACATAGCCCCACCAATGCAGCTACGTTGGCACCCGAACCTGGCCACCAGACATAACTTCTCACCAATATCTTCATTTTGGAAACACCTGGACTTTTGCTCGGGACAATCACTTCTTCCTCCCCATCGTAATATGCCGTCCTCTGCAGTTATGTGGTCGCAGCTGGTCCAGAAAGGCTTCAGTCCTGGTTGTGATGGCCCTTCTGTTTCCCCATTACCACCAGTTGTTTTGGTTTTGCCAGGACGGGATCTTTTTATATGCACAGTCAAATATTGTCAGCGGTGACTGGAGGAGTGTCCAGAAAGTTTAAAACCAGAACAGACTGTTCCAGGGGAGGCACCACCAGTGGAGTATATGCCAGTGGGAGGCAGCTAAACGCATCCGCATTAGCCACTTAGCCTCCTAGGCGGTATTCCTACTTGTACAATGCGCTGAAAATAATGGCCCACCGCTAAATTAGACCAGAAACTATAGGCAGTACCACCTTAGCAAGAGGTTTATGGCCCGTTACTATGACAAATTCACATCACACCAAAGATGACCACCAAACCTTCTTTCTGTCGCTGGGCGCATTTGCATTTGGCATCAGCCGTCGTCCGGGAATCAAACGCTATTGGGTGTTTCTCTTTGTTGGGCCACATTACCCCGATACTGTATTGTGGTGGCATCGTATGTCAGCACTACCTCGCACTTCTTCAGATCGTAGTGGGCCAACACCTTTTCACTTTCCTAATGGCTACGTGACCATTTCCACGTCTTTCAATAGCAGATGGACGCAAGGTTATATGTGAAGTTCCCACAATAATTCAGAAACCCAAGTAAAGACTTAAGCTCCGATACAGATGTGAGAGATGGGGCATATTTGATCACCCTCTCTTTATCTTGCAAATGGTGTAACCCGATTTTGTCGACTCTGTAACCGAAGTAGGTCACTTGGGGCAGCTGGAACGTACACTTTCTCCTTCTAAGGCATACGCCTGCTTGGGAGAAATGTTTAAGCACTATGTCCAATCTCCAAGTGCTCTTTATTGGCCATCCACACTCACTGCCACTGAAATAACTGCACAGAGGGCTGGTACCCTGTCACTAAGTAACCCTTTATTTACATGTGCACAGTACACTGCCTGTGGCCTGCCAGCTTGGAGTCAGTCCCTCAAATGAAGAGATTCTGAATCTCCTTTTATATCTGTCAGCCAGGGCTCTCTGGCTCAGGTTAATAACCCCAATCAAGGATCTCATAGTCAATAAGATCCACCTGGTTCCAATCACTACCGTTTCATACCTAAGAAGTTAAAGACTGGAAAGAGAAAAATATAACAATCATCTCACAAAGAGAAGTGAATTTCTGTCGGAGTGAAATTTTGCTGTACTGGCCAGGGCATTGGGCAGAATTCAGTGCCTTCCCTCTAGGTAGGTTTAATTGTGATAGGCTGTTTAATTGGGTCCCTGCTGCCTTTCCACATCAGACCCAATTAAGACCATGGCAGGAAGGCTTGTGAATGACCGTTCCGCCATCACTAGTATTCAACCAAATAAGCAGATGAAGGACTTTCTGTGCGGGAAGCCCAAAAATCGAACCTTATTGAAACTGTTGCAGGCTGTGGAGAGGGGTCCCTTGTTCAAAGATAATCAAGGGACTCAATATTGAGAAAGGGTGAGGCTCACTGAAAATCAGTCTCAAGCTCTAATTGCTGAGCCCCTTCATTCACCCCCATAACCCCATACGTTTTTCATTGTAGAGTCCCTTAAGTGATCTCGAGCCACATAGCTAGCAGCTGTCACTGCTCCTCAGCTGAATCAGCTGATGAATCCTCAGCTACCAGCTTCTGATTGGTTGGCAATTCTTAGGGGGTGGGTTTTCTGTCCCAGGATCATAGAATCATAGAATCTCTACAGTGTGGAAACAGGCTATTCGGCCCCACAAGTCCACAACGCCCCTCCAAAGAGCATCCCACCCAGACCCATTCCCCTACCCCTGCATTTTCCCATGTCTGACCCACCTAACCTAAACATCCCTGGGCACTATGGGCAATTTAGCATGGCCAATCCACCTAACTTGCACGTCTTTGGACTGTGAGAGGAAACCAGAGTGCCCAGACAAGCGCACGCAGACACAGGGAGAATGTGCAAACTCCACGCAGACAGCTGCCTGAGAGTGGAATTGGACTCGGGTCCCTGGCACTGTGAGGCAGCAGTGCTAATCACTGAGCCACTGTGCACCCCAAATCCCTTAACCCCAGGGAAGGCTTAACACAGCCCAGTTTAGTTTCAGCTCGCATTTAGTTAGGTGGGCTTCCCTGAAAGGTGGTGGCATTAAATACAACCCATTATCTTTTTTGAACAATATTTATTGCCACTTTGTAGATTAATAGGAACAAAGCTGAGAGGAAGGTATAGAGGTTGAATTCGGAGCTTTAATGGTGTAACAGCAACATACAAGATGTTCCTCAGAGTGATCCGCAAACTAAGAATTTGATTAAGCTAGTATTTTGAATTTTTCAGTTTAGTGTATCTATTAGTACATTTTGTGTTTGAAACCAGAGAGAAGGTTAGCTACTCAACTATTGGTGAAAGTTACTTAAGAAAGAAGTTGTGAAACTGTTAGCTCAATTACATATACAGTACTTTAATGTAAGCATGGTAAAGATTACTTATGAAGATGAAAATGAAGTCAGTTTAATAATCCTGCAGATTTGCTTGAAGAATCTTTTTCTGAAGTGAAAAGGTTGAAAATTCAAGTCAGATTCTGCAGCTGTGACCTCAGTAGTCAAATAGTCAGAATTCGCTTTTGTAGGTGAACTCTGTAGTTAGGTTCAGGGAGAGAATGTAAGCCTCTTTTCCTAATGGTTTTGCTGGTACAATATTTTGATTGGAATCCTTTTGATTTGAACAGGGAGGTACCTTCTTTATACTTCCCCAGTGTCAGAGAGAAAACACAACTCTCCCAAGCTGTTCAATTATTTCAACTAAGAATGCTATCTGGAAGTAGAATTAAAGCTATAAGGGTGTCCAGAGATCTCTGTACAAAATAGCTGTTCTA